AGTGTCTGTCTGTCTGTTACCTCTTCACGCTTAAATCACTGAACCGATTTAGATGAAATTTGGTATCGATATAGTTTGATAGTTTTTATCCCAGAAATCATCCTTTAAGAAGGTAAAAAGGGGGGTGGAAGTTTGTACGGGGAATCAATAACCGCTGACGCGATTTAGATCTAATTTTGGACGGAGATAGTTTGATTCTTGAGAAAGGAGCCGCGGGCAAAAGCTAGTCATAAAATATATTTAAAAAAGTACTAACACAAAATTGTTTGACAAGTAGGCACTTAAAATATATGAACTTAAATCCTTGCTTTTAAGTCAAGTACACAGTACCCTTGACATTATATGATTAGGGTTGAATCTCTTCCGGTTGACCTGAGCTGTATAAAGGGTGGTTTGAGGAGGCCTATAATGTGACAGTGTGAGACATTTTACACTATCTCACTGTTAAACCTTATATGCAAGACTAGCTTCTGCCAGCGACTTCGTCCGCTTGAAATAGTTACTTTGGGCTAACGCTAACTTTAACCCGCGACTTTGTTTACGTAGAAGGTGAAAATATTTTTAAATCAAACGTACGTTAAGGAGCTATTTCTCGTACGTTAAGAAGCTCTCAAAAGCAAAAAAACGATTTTGAAACATTCTTCATTGGTGCTCCGCTCCTATTTATTCTTAGCGTGATGATATATAGCCTATAGCCTTCCTCGATAAGTAGGCTATCAACACTGAAAGAAATTTTTAAATTGGACCAGTGGTTCCTGAGATTAGCGCGTTCAAGCAAACAAACAAACACACTCGTCAGCTTTATAATATTATTAGTATAGATTTAATCCAACGTTTATACATTCGAGAGCAGTGAATTTGGGTTAGATTCTGACCTACTAAATTCATGATAGCATGTCAAACCGCATCACCGCAGTAATGAAATGATATTTATTTCTGCAAGTAAATCTTTTCAGATATTACAAGTCGGACTTTACAGCTAGAAGGTGGCAGTTCCTAAGACTCGCTCTGAGAAGAAACGCCGAAACAAACAACAGAGTTGGCTTTTTTTTTAAGTCCATGTACAATGTTAAAGAGAACAGACAACTATATGAGTTCAGTAAAGGGTCTGTATGCCTTTGAAGAAGGAACCATAGTATTGAGTCGGCCCGTCCATACAGACGGTATACGAACCCCAGCCATTGTGTAGCCTAACCGATATAGTCAGGATCCACACACCACGACACTACCGCCTGCAGGGCACTTGAGTAGGCCGTGGAAACAATCAAAACCACCAGAGAGTTACTAAAATATGAACTAACATTATAAACCTGCGGTATACTCACATTCACATACACAAAAAAATACAATTCAATTTCAAATAAAAAATCGAAAACAAACGAAATAGGAATTAAAACTATTATTTATAATTTATGTAAACGAGCTACCCAAAACAATAAACGGACCATGTGTCTTATTTGCGGACGACATCTCTTTGCTCACTTCGTGTACAACTAATGTGGATGTTTGTGAAAATCTTCACCAAACACTCACAAAAACAGTGGACTGGATGAACAAACACAATCTGGAAATAAATTTCTCAAAAACTAAATTGATAACTTTCCATCCACACCAAAAATCACCAATAGACATCAATTTTACATTTAATGGATCAAAGATAGAAGTTGTTAATGAGTTTAACTTACTCGGGGTAACCATAGACACGCATATCAACTGGAGGGCGCACGTAAAAAAGGTGAGCGCAAAAATATCAAGTTTTACATACGCCCTACGCGAAGTCAAAAAAGTCACAGATCTACCTACTGCACTTGTCACTTATTACGCCTACGCACATTCTTGGCTCAACTATGGCGTAATTTTGTGGGGCAATAGTACGGACGTCCCCGCTGTTTTTACTAAGCAAAAGGCATTGATTAGAGTCTTGGTCAATATAAAAAATACTGACACATGTAAACCACACTTTCAAGAACTCAAAATCCTAACATTACCATGCATCTACATCTTGGAATTATGTAAACTTGTTCGTAAATATCCGGAACACTACACCAAGCGCGAAGATATCCAATCCAAAATGACCCTAAGACACAAAAGTAGATTAAATCTTCCTACTTCAAGATTAGCAATTCACTCCTCTGGACCATTGGTCATGTCAGTAAAAGTATATAATAGGCTACCAAACGAAATCAAAAACGAAAATAAATACAATACGTTTGTTAACAAATTAAAAAAACTCCTGATAAATAAATGCTACTACAGTGTCAAAGAATACTTAGAAGATAAATTATAAACTTTAAATAACTAAAATTAATCATTATAAACACATGCCAGTATAGACATAAAATCTAATAAATTTACATTTAATAAATATTAATATATAATGAATGACTATGCAATAAATTGATATACAATGAATGGTAAAATAATTTTGTACTGACATTGTTCATTAATAAATTTATTAAATTATCAACAACTACATCCTTTTATGAACATGCAAGTTAAATATACTATTTGGTTTAATTAGTTTATCTCGTTTAAAGCAGAAAATGTTGGTATTGAAATCAAGCTCTTCAAACTAGCATAATTAGGCAGCTCCTCCTCTCTCCTGATAGTGCTGTGCCCGACAGGGTCCATAATTGTTATCTACTTTTAAGCCTACCACCTGAATGTACATTATGGAATGCAATAAATTGAAATTGAAATTGAAATTGAAATAAAACAAAAAAATTAAATGTGGGAGTGAGCAGCATCCATCCCAAGCTTTGTCATCTAAATAATCTGTAACCGTGTAGTACCTAAGCATTTTCACATAGTTTTTGTTTAACTAAGGACTTAAATTTGTTAATAATTAATTCATGAAATTTGCTTGTCATTTTATTGTAGAATCGCACATCCTGACATAGAAAAGACTTGCTTACTTTTTGTAGTCTAGTTGTTGGCAACACTAGTTCATCTTTATTTGATTGATTGATGATTTATTTAGTGTTTATATTATGAATGTCGCTAAAGTTTGTGAATACATGAATATTTTTCTTAACATACACTAAATTTTCATATATATATTGAGATGCGACCGTCATAATACTAATTTCTGTAAACTTATCCCTCAGTAACTGCCTATAACTGAGATTATAAATTGCGCGAATAGCTCTCTTTTGCAACACAAAGATACTCTGAATGTCAGTAGCATTGCCATGGGAGCACGTATAGGTAACAATCTCTGCTAATCTTAAAAATGAAAAACAATTTTGTCTGTTACGCTTTCACGGCTAAACTGCTGAATGCGGGTGTAACCACGGGCAAGGGCTACAAGAAAATAAAATTTGAAAAATTTCAAAATGGTAGAAAATATGTATTTTATAGTTTGTATTATGATTGTAATACAAGGTGACAAATTTTATTTAGTACTTCAATTAGTATCGGAGCTTTTTTTCAGATGAGGCGAAGAGAGTGATGTCCTCTGGGTTAGATATGGTGACGCCACCTATTTTGTTCCCCCTTTCCCAGTTTTCAAGCTTTCGACGCATTATGTGCTCACCATATATATTAAATAAAATGGGAGATATCACGCATCCCTGTCGAACGCCTTTTTGAAGCTTGAATCGGATTGATGTTTTTTTTTTTTATTTTTTTTTTTTACTTAATTGGTACAGTTACAGACAACAGATCATGCCTCACACAGTAACAAGTAACAGCGTATAATTTCAAATCTGAAGTCCAATTAAAACTATACACATCATTCACAATCGCGGTGATAGAGCTTCAATAAGATGTTAAACAAACGCAAAAAAAGATTATTAAATAAGAAAATGAGATGCAGCAAATTGACTAATTAGTTATATCTACAAATGTGTTACTATAATTTTACATTGATAGGTTTAGACATTTCAGATTTATGTAAAAAGCACTTGAATACATTTATGCTATCATTAAAAATATCTATTTGAGAACATATATCGTTATAACGACTACACATTCGAAAAACCGGATTGTTGCGTGATACATTGTTGTTGCTAGTTGGTATAGTAAACAGTAAACAGTATAGTAAACAGTTATATTTTTAATTGTCACTGTACCATATCCGGGCCTCAATTCTGCTATTTTATGTTCACGCCAAGCCAGTAGTTGAAAATATATTACGTTTTTTGAGGAAATGATGTGTGGTATGACACTGGCTTGGCGTAATAGCAGAATTAAGGCCCCGGATGCATACAGCGTACGGATCAATATCACCAGGTGAGTCGGTACCCCCACCTCAGCAAGAACCTCCCACAATTTGTGCCATCAATCAAGAAAAGATCGTAGTCTTGAATTGATGATGATTATAAAATAGAATAAAATGAGACCAGTATTGTTTTTCTACAATCAAGTCTTCGATTTTTTTTTAAATTGCTTCTTATATTTAAACAAATAGCTGGAGTTCATTAGCAAATCAACTTTTTTGTATAAAAAATGATTATATGAAAATTATTTGTTTTGTGAAAAATACCTTGACCAAAATTCATAAATGAAATATTTGTCAAATAGCATGTTCCGTATGCTATTTAGTTCCTATCGGATGTCCCGCGACACCACAGGGCTTTTTTTATTTATTTCTTCAGATACATTTTCCATATTAACAAATTAATGAATATAAATTAATTATATGTCAGAAATAATATATAGCTCGAAGAGATAAAATATACGCAAACAGTGGCCTGCTTAAGGGGTTAGAATGATTTATTTATCTATTGTTTTTCTATTACTAACTAAACTAAACAATGACACATAAATATAATACATACTAACTTATATCCGGTTTTATCTTATTTATATTATCTATCTTTATCTCGAATTTCATCCAGATCCGTCGAGCCGTTCTGGCGTCATTGAGTGCCAGACGTATTTACATTATTCCTCACAAACTTTCGCATTTATAATATTAATTGGATAAATATATTATTATTTGAAGAACCTAAAACATAAATTTATTTACAGCCACTTTAAAATTGTTACTTTAAAAAATGGGCAAATATCTTCCAGAATCGACACCCATACACCCGGTACGGAACCTGCGGTGTATGGGTCGACACCCACTTTTTTTTTCATTAGGAAAGACAGCTGTACGATAAAAAGATTTTTCCTTTTCAACTTATAGAAAATTATTTTCTACTTTTTAGTTCGGCTAGCTACAAAAGTGTGATTTTTTAGTTTTTTAAATTATAATTAATTTTTACTTTTTTAGAGTCATTAATGATGATTATTATCTTATTAAGACTAAAAAGTAACATGTAAGTTTATCAGATATGCTTCAGAACACGCCTTAGTACGTGGTAAAAGGTACTACCTATTTTTAAGTATTTATAAAGCCGTTAATCCTGAAGATCCTCATCAGGATAATTGACTGCACGGATGGCTAATGGTTTAAGTGGTCGCCACGCTGATTCCTACTACGCTGAGTGTTGTGGGTTCGATCCTCACATAGAACGACACTTTGCGTGATCCACAAATTATCGCTCTGAGTCTGGGTATTCTTTGTGTCCGTTTCATATATGTTTGTAAAGTCCCCTGCGACACACTATATATTCCTACTGCGGGAGATGTCTTTAAAAAAAAAGTAAAAAGCCGTGTGGTGTCGTTTGACACCCGATAGGAACGAAGTTGTGACGATCAAGTAAAACTGATTCGACACGATTTTAATTACAACGCCATCTATGAAAGCGGCTATTACCTACATATTTTTCAGTTGGTTTCTAATTAAAACAATTTATACATTGGTAAAATCTCCTTGAGAAATGATTTCCTATCTATTCGATAGATGGCGCTGAATGACTGACAAGTGACAATTCAAAATAAATACTGAGATGAAAAGTAATGATTTCCTATCTATTCGATTGATGGCGCCGAATGACTGACATAAAAAGAGTCGTTACAACTTTTCGTGAGATTTTTTTCCGTCTAGCCCCCTTTCACAACGCGCGATAAGGAACTTCGTTCCAAAAGGAAAAAAACGACGGGTTGCACTCCGGGAGTGTCGGCAGAAGTGAAAACTTGAATATTAACGTTGTTCATTTTTGACACACGAACATTCGCGCAAGCGCCCTGCGCCGTCTAAACGAAACAGCAGGCGCAGGCATACATTTTCGCCGCGCCGTAGAAAGAGAGGGGGATACTTCCTCTCCTACTTCGCGCCGGCTGTCTACTCTCCATCCGTCTTACGAATTTTCGATCAGGTCACGTGTCCTGACGCGAGTTTAACATTTTTTACCCATTACAAAAAAAGTGTACAACGCCGCTAAAGAAGTTTTCACTTCAAAAAAATTGGTCAAATTTATCAAATTATTGTATCGTCATCGGTCCTTGATAAGTGTGCAAAGTTTGAATACAATCCGCCGTTTTAAAGTGGGTGAAAATCACTCAAAGATTCCGTTACGTATCTACGTAACGGAATCTTTGAGTGATGACATACGCGTCAAGCTAATAAAAGCGCTCAAAAAGGGATTCGTATGTCACAATTTGGATACGGAACGCTAAAAATGTGTACACAGTTTTATCTTGCCGTGTTTACATAAGACTCTGACACAATATTTTTCAAGATATTCTGCACAGGACACTGTTTTCCTCACTCTCATTGAATTCTTATTGCTATGTTACATAATGCTTATCGTTTTAAGTGGATGACAAATATGTCATGTTATTATAATATCTATTTCGCAATCCCCAAGCGGATTTTCAGTTTCATTTTATCTGTGACCGTGTAAGATTGTCTGTCATGTAAGTTTTATATTATTTAGTTACGATTAAAGGATTTAATAATATTTTTTCACACACACTACGATCTGATCACAAACTAGGCAGAGCCTGTGCTATGGTAACCAGACTGCTGATGAACATACTTAAATATTTTTAAATAAATACATATTATAGATAAATTACACCCAGACACAGAACAAATAATCTAATTTGTTTTGGGTGGGAATCGAACTCACGACCTCCGGCTTAGCAGTCAGGGTTACTAGACCAACAGGCCCGACTATTTGTGTGCTAAGTTTCATTTATCCAGTCCGGTTGATAGAAAAGGGCTTATCCCTGTAGTGACAGTTGAAATTTTTGCCCCACTAACGTAATACCTTCTGATAACATAAAACGTTCCGGTAAAGTAATACGTTGTACCCACTAATGTATTATGTTTCCCGAATTATAATTGACAATTGTGTGGTGACGGATTAATAATACGGAGTGTAACAACCCTTATTAATCCCGTGGGTGTCGTAACAGCCGACAAAGGGAGCAGAAATTTGAACAATTACAGGACTGCAAAGAGAAGGAAAATTTTAAACAAACCCTTTTTTTTTTTTTTTTTTTTTTTTTTAACGTGTGGAAATCCCCTCGGACCGTCACCCCTCCGGGGTTTGCGGCGGGGTGGTGTGTCGGACTCGGACCGACTAAAACCACACGGTGTGCCACTCTGCGCCTGTAACAGGAGGGATCCGGGAACAGCTGTTGTTAAGACATCCGGACCCCTCCTAGCGCCAGCCCGCTCCTGATGCGGGCTCCGTCTCGATATTTTCCTCTCTTTAGGCGACGTCCGGCACACGCGGACGCCGCCCCCTCGCGGCTGGCCAACTAATGCGGGTGGAGGGGAAACCCACCCCGTCCACCCGCGGCCACACTCAGGGCGGCATGAGGCTGTGGTAGGCGGGCCTCCGCCGCCCGGTTCGCCGGCGGCGGATCGGGTCCGAGTGGAGGTCGTCCTCCCGGGCCCTTTCCGCCGCCTCCTTCCGCGAGATTACTACCTCGCAGAAGGTTGCGACCGCGGTAAAACAACTGTCGCTACCGGCCATGGAGCGTACTACGGCCGGTAGCGAGAGATCCACTCCGATGACTGCAGTGAGGGCCCGGCGCTGCGCCGCCCATGCGGGGCAGACCGCCAGCGTGTGCTGGGCCGAGTCCTCACTGCAGTCGCAGTGGTGGCAGGCGGGACTCAGTTCCCTCCTAGCGACCGTGTGCAGGTACTTTCCGAAGCAACCGTGCCCGGAAAGCACCTGCGTCAGTCGGAAGGAAAGGGTCCCGTGCTGCCGCCCTGCCCACTCGGCGATGACCGGCTGGAGAGCCTCCACGGCGGCGAAGCCAGCGCGTGGAGTCTCCAGCCGGAACGACCAACGAGCCATCGTGGCTCGGCGAGCGGCTTCGCGCCACTCGCGCACATCCTCGGGCGGAGGGCGAAATCCGCTCTCCGCCCGGTAGTCAGCCACTCGCCGATAAACTTCGGCGAGCACTTCCGCCTCCAAATCCCACGGGGGAGTTCCGGCCAACGCGCACGCCACCTCCGTCGAAACGGTGCGGTAACCGCGTATGGCTCTGACCGCCATTACCCTCTGAGGGCGCCAGAGGCGTACCCTATTCTGGGCGGTCAGAGCCGCCGCCCACACCGGTGCACCGTACAGTGCCATTGACCGGACAACCCCCGTGTACAGCCGTCTTGTCGCGACGCTGGGTCCACCCATATTGGGCAAAAGTCGCCCTAGGGCAGACGCAGCGTCGACCAGCTTTGGAGCAAGCTGTCGGAAGTGCTCGTCGAAGAGCCACCTCCCGTCGAGGATCAGGCCCAGATATTTCATCTGGGCCCGAACCGGTACGAGGACCGAGTTGACCACGATGGAGGCGCCAGGGGGTGGACCACGACGGGGCCCATGAAATAACAGGGCCTCCGTCTTATCTAGGGCCACCCGTAAGCCCAGCGCCTCAATGCGCCCGACCACCAGGGAGACTCCCCCTGTGGCCAGGCGCGCCGCCTCTTGGAAGTTTGCCCCCCGGGCTGTCACAAGGGTATCGTCTGCGTAACAGATTACACCCAGCCCGGGGGGGAAATCGGCGCGAAGGGCCCAGTCGTACCCTATGTTCCACAAGAGGGGTCCAAGAACAGACCCCTGTGGAACACCGCACGACATGGGCCGACACCTCAAATTACCTTCTCGGTCCTCGTACACGACGGTACGCTCCTCTAAATAGTCTGCCACTAGCCGCCTCAGGTACTTTGGCACCCCATGATAGTGGAGTGCTTCCCTGATGCAGCTGAATGGCAGACTATTGAATGCGTTGGCGATGTCCAGTGACACCGCCAACAGCACGCCGCCACAGCTCACGGCCTCTTCGGTCACGGCCCTCAGGCGCAACACGGCGTCGACTGTCGAACGCCCCGCCCGAAAACCAAACTGGGCGTCCGACAGATCGGGGCCCACCTCGCAGAGGTGCCGGACGATGCGGGCAGAAAGAACCCTCTCAAACAATTTGCCCGCCTCGTCCAGCAGCACGATGGACCTATAGGCCGCGACCGAATCGGCTGGCCGTCCCGGCTTCCTCAATAGGACCAGCTTCCCGCTTTTCCAGCACTCAGGGAAGCGTCCCGACGCCAAGCTAGCGTCGAACACCTCCCCGAGGCGGTCTGCCATGTGGTTGAGGGCCAGGGCCAGCACTCGGGCCGGTACCCCGTCTGGCCCAGGGGCGGTGTTCTTGGAACGGATCCGTAGAACAGCCGCCCCTACCTCCGAATCCCGGACGGGCGGAACATTGTCCTCCCCGTGCTCCCCGTCGTCTCCGGCCAGGGAGGCCATCGACGGGGGAGTGTGTTCCGCTCGTTGTGGGAAAAGGCCCTCAACCACTTCGCGCAGGAAGAAACAAACCCTATACCAACCCGTCTGGCCAGTGTTGTATAGTAGGCCAAAACCTCCTTTCTAAGGAGAGGCCTATGTCCTGGAGTGGACTATTAAAGGTTGTTGATGATGATGATGACACAAATAGTATATGACCTAGACTAACATATAGGATAATTTTAACCGAGGCAAACAAGGCCATTTCAGAAACAATAATATATAATATTTGTCTTCTTTACAAAGCCAAGAACAAATACAAAGCAGTATCGTCTAACTTTCTTGTTGAGGTAGCTATTTAATTTGTTATCTGTTTAGAAAAGGAAACAATAACAGGTACATGAATAACTAGTAATTAAATATTTGTATTAATTAGCCTTAAAAACAAGACATTAATTACGTCAGACGTGATATGAGTTGCGCGATAGAAAGAGAGGCAACTTAGGTGAATGAAACTATTGGTAAATTATCGCTGTGTGAACTAGATTGTACTTTATTCTGTTGGTGGAAGGGTCGATTTTAATTTAAATGATTGGGAAGTGAGTCTTCTGGACCTGTGCTATTATTTATTCAGTTGCTTTATGAAGATTACTAGTGGCTTATATTAATTAAACTAAGCTTTGCCTACGAGGGTTTTGTAGAAATACACATTTCTAACTCCTCAAATGTACTTCCCCCTGTTTTTTAACTTTAACTAGTAATCCTTGTGTGTCCTGCTTGGTGTCATTGTAGACCTTGGTGGATAGGAGTCACAATAGAAAGACTGTGGGTGGAATTAGTCCCAAAAGAAAGGACATATACATAATTCCTTTTTAAAAAAGTTGAACCGACTTCAAAAAATACTCACAAAGAGCACTAAAAACCTAGCAGCAATCGTGGTTGATTTGCTGCTATTTTTTTGAAGAGTTTCTATTTATTTATTTCTATTTATTCTTTATTGTACACACTGAACACATACACATATATAAGTAACAAGGAAATGTAATGTACAAAGGCAGAGTTCCGTTGTCTGTCTCCGAAACTTCTCATCAGATTTATATGAAATTTAAATGGGACCATTGGAATAAATCCTTTTGGAACAGAAAAATAATTTTGAAAATACGTCTATATATGACGAAGTTATGACCGAACATTAATGAAAACAGATATCAACATCCGAATTGATAACCTCCTCCTTTTTGGAGTCGGTTAATAAAATACATACATATAATATGGGCTTACGGATAGACAGATGCCTATTCCACCCCTACACACTAAAATACCTATAATTTTTAATTTGCGTTACTGTAATACCGGCACCCTTGTTCATTGATAATTTCATGACTCTTAGTTGATGTGCTAATAAATTATGATTTAAGTAGAACTATTATCCTTTTTTCAGTCTTCTGATCATGTCGTTTTTTAGGCTATACGTGACGACGGATCATCTGATGGGAAGCGGCCATCTATAGGTAAATTACGTCAAACGAATTTTAGGACTATTTAACCCCGTCCGTCCTTGTCACAGGTTTTCACATTTTTAGAACCCCCTCCTCCCCGATGTGAAGTCACACATTTTTCAATTTTATGCATATATTTAAAAATAAATAAAAGGAAACATTAATTTTTGAACCGAAGTTCCTTATTCTTTTTTCTTATTTTTATTAAATATTTTTAATAAAATCATTGGACCTTACGTTGATTTCACTTGAGTCACTTTCTAACAGGTGACCCCGCGTCTGCTCGTTTGCCCCCTCTATTTATTATTTTGTAATTGGTGTACAATAAAGCTTATTTTATTCTATTATATTCTAATACATATATTTAAACGTATACTTCGCAACTATGTAGGTTATGAAATAAACTACGCCTTTAAGTATAACTTTAGTAGAACTATACAATTCTTTTTATGATGCAAAATAAACTCTAATTTACAACTGTTAAGATTTAAAATGTCGTAAAATACCACGATTGCCAATGTTCAACCTAAAGGCGTGTTACAATAATACGTAGTTTTTTTGAAATTAGTTTTATATCTGTACGTACAACGTTATGATTAGCTTTAAATATTTTTAAATCAATCTTGTAAATTTTAACCCATTTTAATTTACGTATGTGTATTTAATCAGTTTTTAACACTTCCTGCAAGTACATTTAATAAAGCGGACTTAATGACAGGTATAGACATTTTCTTCTAGTCCACCTTTGATTAATGCAGAGCTGTGTTGCAGGTGTAGTTGAAGATACTAATGCGATAAATGACTAAATGAATAATAATATCTGTTGCCAGTATAATAAATGAATAATAAAATGGGCAGGCTAGACCGGAGTGATACCACGACCTCACAGAAAACTGGTGTTAATCATTCTTTCGTTGTTTCTTTCTTTCTTTCGTTACCGTTTGTCCGTATACCATAAAACATGCAACAGTATATAGATTTCCAACTTTTTCGTAGATTAATAGAAGTATAATTGTGATAAACGTTATTTATGACACCCCTACTACTATTTATTTATCACCGTAGGGGTGGACAGAAGTGTTATATATTATGATTTATAAAAGTGTGTTAATAATAAAAAAATACAAGATAAATATTTTTAGGCTTCAATGTAAACATAGCGTTACCTATTATTATGCGTCTACATCAAATTTAAATCAATCTATGGTTCACCATTCCTAAACGTATGATAGTTGCCGCCAAACACGAACGTGACAGGTTCCAATGGCAGTTGTAAATAAATAATAAAAGGAATCATATTTTGTGAATTATATTTATATCGCTATTTTGAATGTGTTATGTTATTAATGTGGCGTAATGGAGTTGTGTATTCGTTTATTTGCTTGTAAGTGGTTTTTTTTTAATACTTTTTAGTGTAATAGATTTGAAATAACCATTTTTTAAATGTGTTTTTCAACTGCGCTTAAAGAGTAACGTGTCCTAGCGTGATGTGATGCCTATAATAACTTGCTTCGAGAGGAATCGAGAGGAAAAAGAAGATTCAACCAAATATTTGTAAAATTATTGTCCAAATATTCTGGAAATCCAATTATTTATTCCTATCTCACCTTTTTTTTTCTGTGCGGAAATCCCTTCGGGTACCACCCACCGGTGGGATAGTTGTGTCGGACTTGAACCGACCAAAAACCGCACGACGTCTCGGATACCAGTTGCCGGGAACCAGGTTTACCCTAGAAAGGAAATCTCTGTTACCCCGACGTACCTCGGGTCATCTACGTGGTATAGATGACTCACCTTTTTTTTTCCCCTCGGATACCACCTATCGGTGGCATGTCGGGCTCGAACCGACTAAAACCGCACGCCGTCTCGGGTACTAATAGCCGGGGAACCAGGTATACCCTAGAAAGGAAGTCCCTGGTGGCTAGATGACTCACCTAAGCTCACCTAAATATATTTTTATATTTTGTTAATGTTAACTAGAAGTCTTAACCGTGGGAGAGCCATGCATCGGCACACACTCGATCGTGATGATACCTCACAGAAAATCTATGTCAAGAAATTCTTTCGCTCCATATCACCGAGATAATTATAAGTTGTTAGCAAAATATGGGCGTTTACTACGCATTGGTCTTTCCCCTTCGGGTAGACGTGATCGAGATGGTTCTTAGCAATTTTTGAAGATCATCTGTTTATTTCTTAGTTGATGATGGAATCTAACACACAACTCCGATTGATTTGGGATCTGGTGTACATTAGTGGTATTGCCATGATATGGTAACTTTGACCTGATGCTGCTGCTAAACCTTGGGTTGATGCTCGTGTCGTGGGTTTGATTGGTGTAATAAAAGATTTTAAAGATAGTATACGCAGTACACTAGAAAAATGTTAAAATTGATTGCTTTAAACTAATTATGTATGGGGTATTAATATTTTAGGTTTCAGTTTATTTTTATTGAAGAATTTTTACGACTGTTTTCTGGTTTTGACTATATCTAAAAGACCGGTATTTAATTCGAATTTGTGTTTATGCTCTTCTGTTGATAGGTATGCCTTGCGCTATTATAACATAGTGGGAGGGTGATAGGGCTCACGCTACCCCACTCCCCTTCTCACGTCGTACATCGGCACCTCCGTTATTCACCAAAACAGTTATCGATTTTATTTATAAATGTGACCCTACTATTAATATGCCTGTATGTCATTGAATTCCTTGTAAAAACCTGAATCGATGATGATTTTTTTATTTGTTTAAGTGAGCCTCTGGATCCTGGTAACCCTACTTTCGCGGGTGGCAACGTCTGTGGTGTCCACTAGTATCTGATCCTTTTTAAAATACCTAATATACTTAATTTATTACGTAATAATTCGTTAATTTATTACAGATTGGCACAACAACTGGATGCCAGGGCGCATAAAGCATTTAAGAGAAGTAGCAAAGGTAATAATTATATATTTAAGACCTATTTCTTAGCGTTCCATGGATTCACTGTGTGGGTGCTGGGTCCATCGCGTGATAGATGGAGGCAACATATGTTACTTAGGCTGCGCCTCGGACTTGCGACCCAGGTATAGGTTTAGGCAGTACTCCTTGCGACGCGTCAGCGTATATTAAAACACAGTGTCTCCTCTACTGTCTGCTGTGTTACCCCCTCTACCTAACTGTACATTCGTTCAAGAAAAGAGCTTATTGAAGTTCTTGGCAATCCAAGGTCTTTAAGTAGGTTATAGAGGGATTTAGCTGATATACCCCTCGCACCCACTTCCACGGCATACAATGCAACGACATGACCATTTTTAGTTATTTCGTTGGTTAAGTCAAAGTACTTGTTACAGCTTTAGGGATGTTCGTTTTTTACTACACGCTTAATTGAAATTGCATAAAGAAATATGTCTGGTCTGGATGCCGAGGCACAGATATCCTCCGGTATTCTGCAATGATTTTCATACGTGTCCACTAATAATGTCCAGTCACTGGCGGTATTTATAATTGAGTACGGCTTTTGTGAAGTCTGTTTGTTGAGCCTTCCTTTAAAAACGCGATGTTAGTTCTTATGTTTGCGCTCTCGCAGGCGATAAACTTACAGCTTCGCGTATGATTTGTAATACCCTATCATGGCGACGTGAATAGCGCCTTACAACCTGTCAGTAAGTGCCTGGCTGTACCTATTTCCGCACTGCACATTGTACAAGCCTTTTCTGTAGCTTTTCCCTGCCTTACTAGGTTGCTTTAATCAGGGAGAGTCAATTGAAAGTCGTTGAACTACATTTTAACAGGGCAGGTGACCAATAGTATGAATTTGATTCTAAAGTTATTCGGAAAAGTTATACAATTTCAAGGCAAATAGCCCGTGTCGTATTGAGCCAAAATTAAATCTATCCAATAGACAGTAATTTGCCTTTCATTTTTTCTAGCATCTTTGAGACTTTCCGCAAGTAATGAGTTATGTTCCAGACATCCAGAGATTCCGGGCATGAACCCTTTCTGGTAATTTAGTCTGAAGTAATTGTTGTTGGACATAAACTGTATTATTTTTAATTAGGAGAAAAATATGTTAGTAATTGATTTAGTCTAGTGTCCCTGGGATCTACTACTTCACTTTTCTTAGGAATGAGGACAAAATTAGCCTTTCCAAAGTTTGTTGGTATTGGTTTACTCAACCAGATCTTGCCGAATAAACTTAGAAAGTGTTTTCGCACTGATGGACATTTTTTAAATACTATTTACATACCATCAGGTCCTGGAATTGATTTTGATTTTTTCTGTGTAATTTAGGTATCTACTTCTTCTAAAATAAATTTGGAACGAGGGCGTAAGCTTGGTTCATGATAGGTGTTCTCATGTGTGACACCTCGTACACATCTGGTCGGACGTTAGAAGCAGTTGTCGCTTCTATCTTACCAATAATATAAAGGCGGAAGTTTGTAGGGATATTTGTTACTCTTTCACGCTAAAATGGCTGAACGTATCTGGATAAAATTTGGCAAATAGATTTATAATCTGGAACAGCACATACGCTACTTTTTATCCCGGAAAACTTTAGTGTTCCCGTTGGACGAGCAAGGTACAACAACAACAAAAGGAGAACACCCGAGGCGAAGCTAGGTCATAAAAAATTCGACTTCTGGAATGTCCGTGACGAAAGTCGTAAGTTCAATCTCCACATGAGCTAATTTTGATGTTATCTTTTATTATCTAATGTTATCGCCCAAATAAAGAACTCTCTTATAAACATAACTTGAAAAGGGTAAAAGTTAGGTGAATTCCCACTTTTGAAAACAAATCTGTAAATCAATGGCGTTAACAACATTAACTTGGACGAACTCGGGAGGTGTTCATGGGCGGTAGTGGTCACTTTAGATCAGGTGACCCGTCTGTCTACAACGTATTTCATGAAAAAACGGCTTTCATAACAACTTTCACTTGTTTTTTATTTTGTTATTCAAATTTTAATTTATTTTGGCATTCTTTGCTGCACAATTTCACAGATTTCCACAACATGTCGCTGCAGCGGCTGACAGCGCTGCGTGCGCTGATGAACAGTCAACCTACGGCGCTGGCAGCTTATATCATACCTACTGCTGATGCTCATAATGTAAGAATTGTTATCCTTAAATTACATAATATTATTAAAAAAATATATAAGCTTTGATGTGTAGCTTTGGGGCACACACAATAAAGTGCAATTCAGATTACGCAAATTCAGTCGCGTGGTTTTATTATTATTATTTTTATCATAAAAGACAACTCCCGCCTTAGGAATATATTCCTGTGTCGCGGGGGACTTCACAAACATATATGAAATGGACACAAAGAACACCCAGACTAAGAAAAACAATTTGTGGATCATACAAAGTGTTGTTCCATGTGGGGATCGAACCCACAACACTAAGCGCAGTAGGGAACGGCGTACAACGGACCGCTTACACCATGCCGTTTATTTATGACTTGACTAAATTGACTAAAATTGATTGCTTAACCTTTTTCTTTGCCCGGACTAATCAAAAGATTAGTCCGGGCCCGTGGACGCCGCCATGTACTTGTAGAGTCGTGCCTAACCTAGGCCTAGTCTAAGTCTGGCCTGGTTTCGACCAGCCTCTGAAACTCTTGATCCGATTTTCAAAATACTTATAATATAAATTTCCATCACCACTTGTTTGTTGTTGTTGTTTTTAAGATGTCTGACATTAACACGGTCACTATGAAAGTTGTTAGTTCACAATTTGATGTTACAAGTTTGTGCGGCAGTAGAACTGTGTTGCAATACTTACATAGTTTTGATGGGATGATTTTTTTTTCTCAGTCAGAATACATAGCACCGGTGGACGCGCGTCGGGAATGGATTTCTGGGTTTACAGGCTCCGCTGGTACTGCGGTGGTGACATCTACGGAAGCCTTGGTCTGGACTGATGGAAGGTACTACACACAGTTCGAGAAGGAGGCCGATTTGAAGCTATGGACTTTGATGAAGCAATGTGAGTATGCTTTAGAGAAAATATTATCTGTTCGCCATTTTCCGCGCCTTCGTTCTGTTACGAGTCTCGGGGAACTTGTCTTTTTAAAAAGAAATAAAATACTAAAGTAGGGTTGAGACAACCGTCTGGCTTGGATGTCGGGATGAGACTGGTCATGAGTGGACGGGTCGTTCGGCTATTGATGGAGAAATGCTGAGTGTGCAGAGTAGAAGTGTGGGGTGTGCAGGAATGCTTACATAAGGCATCTCTAACACCTCCCTGGGGTAAACTAAACATCGGGGTAGAAATTTCGATGTTTAGGGAGAGAGAAAGGGTAGAAGAGGAATCAAGAAGAGATGGAGAGTGTATGTTTACACATTTCTCCTAATACTAGGAGATGGTAAGTTTTCCGGTTCCGGGAGATGCTTAGTGATCTTTAACGGGATTACCGTGTCGGGATTTGGAGTTGGTTCTGGAGGTGAATCGGCTGGAGTTGGTTTGGAAAATATAGAAAAATGACGGGAAAGACGGTTGTGCGATTTAATGTATAAAAACAGTTTAACACTACAAAAAATAGAAATCATACAAATACTTAAAATAATTAAGATTGAGTAATGAGTCTCATATTTTATTATCTGGTGTTGATTTAGAATAGAATCTGTTTCATCAGACAAAGATTTTAATTTTAGTTTTGTTTCTGATGTAAAAACGTCAAGGTCGATGTTGTGTAATTTTAGAGGAGGCTCATCACTCATCAAGTTCCTAAACTTATCTAGGTTACAACAGGAGTCGTTGATTATACTGAAGTCTGAATGCGCTACAGTAACATTAATTTTAAAATTATTAAATTTAGGTATTAATTTTGTATTTTTACAGTATCCGATACAATTATTCGGAATAGTTAAAATTCCTGTACCAATAATATTAATATCGTTAATTTTTCGATTTGGGCATTCTATATACAGTTTACTACTTTGGGATTGTATGTAAATCCAATTATTATTGTAAAGTGGTTTCCATAAATCTATGTGTCCGTGAAGGAAATCAGTTTGACACTGCGATGGTAAAACTCTTATCACATTTGACAACAATTCACTTTCACAGCTCGATTTCGCACTCGTCGGGAACACGGTTAATACGTCACAGATATACTCGCGCTGGCTTATCGGTATGCATTCCTTTAGTGAATCAAGGTTACAATATTCAGATTTATCCTTGGTCATTGCTATGTATTTACTACTAGGAATTATGAAACTAAAAGATTGGGGGTCTACATTACTATGTGGGGTCGGTAGTGCAATACTATGGTACAAACTGTATTCCTTAGGGGATACTAAAGGTATTCTTAAAACAAAAACAATCCTGTCATTTAAACTATAACATACTACACTAGATATATTCATTAGACTATGAATATTACTTAACGCTAAGCTTACAGGTAACTTAATATCTACAGGTAAGTACCGATAGTTATCGACAATCTCTTGGTATAATTGCGAGGGCGTTATAATAATCGGGTGCAGGATGTTTTGACTACACAACAAGACTGCAGTAGTTATGTCTTCTAACCGAAATGATAAGGTGAGTATGGATGCTTCTAAACTGTTCATGATTGAATTTATTTTTGATTTAATGTTTAATTCGTTAGAAATTAATGATATGTTTTGCAATTTTGAAGAGAAATTGTCGATAGCTAGGTTAAGGCTGGCTTCATTAATTTTAATCTCGTGTAACGTGTTATTAATTTTTGTTAAAATAGTAGAAGTAACTAAGATGTTTTCTTTCATTAATGAACTCATCCTTTTTTCGTTATCTTGAATATTTTGAATGGCGTTGTCATATTTGACAGCGTCGTTCTCATCTAGGGTCCCAAATATAGTTTTAGACAGAGTGCCAATACCTCCTATCCATGCCCCTCGTTTGAACCTTTTGTTAACTAAATGGGATATAGAGGAATACTCGGAAGTAATTTCGCGATACCTTACTGTAAGTGGTTCTAATATATTGTAACATTCTAAATTGTTTGAGGTTTCTATTGCAATTTGGTTGCAGATAAGGCGTATTGTCCCTAGTATCGAATTTATATTTTTGATGTGAGGTTCAATATAGGAGATGTCTAATTGTGTCACTATATCCAAGTGGCTCACGCGAATTTTGAGTTCGCCAATTGGGTCAAAGTATATACCTGAGCTCGTGTTGATTTGTTGGACGAACTCTGCGTGACCTTGGGCAAGCACGCTGTAACGAAAAGAGACATCTAGATGATTCTATAGATATTTTATTTATATTGGAATAGGTTTAGTTTTATGCTATGTTTCTTATATAATTAATGTTTATACCTACTCAATAATAATAATAATTAAGGAAAAATGTAATGAAATATAAATGAAACGTGTTTAACTACTGAATTAATGTAAATTTAATTTTAGTCTACCGTTTGGACTTCTTCCTGAGCGTCTTCTTGGACGTTCACGTGTCTCACTTCATCGAAGTGGTGTTTCACGTGTCGCCTATTTATAAGTAATGTTAATGTGTGGTTGTTGTGAACTTTAATGACCTTGTAAGGGCCTTTCCACACAGGTGATAAGGCTTTACGTAACCGGAGATGGTTTTTTAGGAGAACGTATTCACCGATTTTATACGTCACCGGGCGAGTACGGGAGTCATAATAAGTTTTAGAGTTCGTTTTGGATTGTATGATTAATTGTTTAGCCCGATCACGAGTATGTTTCATTCGATGTTGCAACATCTTTACATACTCGGGGTAGGTAGTAGTGGAAGTGTCGTTGTAGACAGAGTCGGGGATATTGGATTTATGTCCGAATACTAATTCGTATGGTGAGTAGTGCGTAGTCGTATGTATTGCGGTATTTTATTTATTTATTTATTTATTTATTTATTAGGTTAACTCACAGCACATATATGTAACATTAATGGTAAAATCTTAGTAATAAGGTTCTGATATACATGCCACTTACGAGCTAACACAGCATTCACAGTTTAGACAACATATTAACAGAATCACATTGACATATAGGTATTCCATACTTAACTTAACTCTATTTGTCTGGTGAGTTAGTGGTTGCAGTAACGATCAGTACATTCTTATCAGTCCCCATTGCGAGGTTTGCCAAATGATTCCCATATTTTTGCGCGAAACTGGTTCTCCCCGTCATGAAACACATCAGCATCAGGCACAGTCTTGAGGAACGAATTCAAATCCCTACACATTCTACTTAGGGGTGCGTTTCGACCAAGGTTAGTTTTGGATAAGGGTACAGTAAGGAGATTGCAAACAGGATTACGTGGAGATCTTCTGGGCACATTAATGGTAATGTTTGAAGTCAAATATTCACAATCAATTTTGTTGTGCAACACTCTGTGGATAAACACTAAACCATGCATCAGTCGTCTATCACGAAGAGAGTTCATTCCGTAAAATGTAAGCCGATCCCGGTATGGGCATCTTGGAGATATATTAGGCGAATTGTAGGCAATATGACGAGTGAAGGCTCGTTGGATGTTTTCTATTCGTTGAGAATGAATAGCGTAATAGGGCTGCCATGTGACGTCACCATACTCTAGACGGCTTCGCACAAGGGCGTTATATAACATAATCTTAGTTCGAACGAATTTGAAGCCCTTTGTATTACGTTTTAGGAACCCTAACATTTGAGCCGACTTCGTCACGACCTCATCAATATGCTTCCTGAAATTTAATTTTTCATCCATTATCACTCCAAGATCTCGTACTTCGCTTGCCTTCGAAAGGGAGATACCATTTATGTGGTAGTTTGACATATGAGGTTGCTTCTTTCGTGTAAACCTTATATGGCAGCATTTTCCAACATTAAGGGTCATGCAATTATTATCGCACCATTTTTGTATATTATTTAAGTCTGTTTGGACGTGGGAAATATCATCACTGGATGATATAGTTTTGTATAATTTGAGGTCATCAGCAAAAAGTAAATACTTGCTATTAGTGATTTCAGCAGTAATAGTGTTGATGAAGAGTGAAAATAGACACGGACCAAGGTGAGAACCCTGCGGCACCCCCGAAGCGGCATAATAAGGCCGTGACTCGTATCCACTCACAGCAACAACCAGGGACCGCCTTGCCAAGTAAGATTCAAACCACCTTAGAAGCGATCCATGCACCCCAGCCGATTCCAATCTGGACAGCAGCAGCGAGTGATTGACTTTGTCAAAGGCACTACTGAAGTCGGTGTACACCGCATCAACTTCATGTCCCCTGTCAAGAGCACGCGATATATCATTCACAAACTCGGCCAAGTTTGATTGTACACCTCGACCAATTTTAAACCCATGCTGATGAACAGATATTATTGGATCCAAATGATGAGTAATAATAGGACATAAAAGAGACTCGAAGATCTTTGCAAAACACGAAAGTAAAGAGATGGGGCGATAGTTTATAACCTGAGAAGGATCGTCCTTTTTATAAACTGGAACGATTCTAGCTAGTATTGTATGCTAACATAGCTGTATAGACATATCGGGGCCAATTATCTTGGTTCTCGTTGGTATAGGATCTTAGATATTCTTTAAGGGTTGAGTGCGATCTCTCTAAGGCGCCTTGAGTTTGCGGATGATAGGGGCTGGACCATAACTGCTTTATTTTGAGGAACTCACATGTTTTCTTAAATAACTCGGCCGTGAAATTAGTACCTTGATCGGTGAGTATATGTTTCGGGATTCCGAATAGCGATATAAAATGAAGTAGACATTCACACGATTCTTCTGCAGTATTACTTCGTAGCGGATAAGCTAACGAAAATTTAGTAAGGTCATCTTGCATGGTTAGGATAAATCTAAGTTTGGCCGCGCCGGACTCGGGTAGAGGACCTACAATATCGAGGGCTACTCTCTCAAATGCAGATGTAGAAGTGGAAGTGATTATCATTGGTGCCCTATTTATTTTCCGTAATGCCTTATTTGTTTGACATGATGTGCACTTTTTAATATAGTTTTCAATGTCACTACGCATGTTTTTCCAA